CCGAGGAATAATCACGTGCAATTGTCTTTTCACTAGCAGTACAGCACGGAGAAACTTTAAACAAACGGACCTGTACAATGGAGTGGGGAAAACTTGGGATTAGTAGATAATAAATGTACATAATGCATTAAGCGTGTAAATACTTGGGAAAATGCATCAAGTCTTTCCGAGAGCGATTTGAAAAACTGGCCTTTTCGAAAAACACATGTAGTATTTTATGTAGTAACCCATAAATGCACTAAATGCAACTCATTGAGCTGATTGGTATATTTGTCAGTCATACTGGTTCATCACTGAACAGACGTCACGAAAAATATTTTCCTCGACCTGATGATTCTCACGATTCTTTTCCCGCGCACATGCGCAGATCCAGGATAAACGGTCAGTCCTTTATAAATATGCACGAGAATATCGTGTTCTTTTCCCGACCAGTACTTTGTTCATACCGAATAATATTTCGTCGAATTTGCAAGAAAGATTCATTTTTGATAGCTCATCATAGTTCAGAAACTTTTGTTCGCTTTCAGCTGTGCAAAAATACTGTTTAACACGGCATACATATCTTTAAACTACGTGTTGTTTATCTTTTCAACTTTCAGCGAGAATCACGCAATTTTAGGTCAACCGAGAGCTTACCTGAACAAATTATGGCTATCATACTATTTACCTCCTGCAACTATCTTGTTTGTGTCCACTCAAGTATTGGCTGTCAGTGATTTATTTCTTATGTATGAATGACGACATTTCCATTTGGTTACCAAGATCTTCCAACTCATTAGCAGCATCCCTGAAACTCCTGTCTTCTTTTAATGAGGATTTAATTTATTCGTGCTGCTATGTTTCAGAATGCTAGTATCGTGTTCTTGGAATTCGCTAGTTAGATTCAAAGAACGGAAATTATGTAACCCGAGGGGCATACTATAGCGTCCGTCTTACAAAACTTTGACTTGCTCGGGTAGAGCGTGCGAGAGAATGAATTCTAGAGTTCTCTTTAACCCATTCGAACACGTCATAACTTAAAACCAATTTTCATTGGCCATTACTCAGTACACAATTACCGGGTATAAGACTTCCGTTCCGACTCAAACAATTTGTTTACATGTCGTTAGGACAATTATTTCTCGCTATACTTCGTAACGCGAGAAATTTTAATTTCTTTTAGATTTGTTTGAAAATCAAATTACTTTTTACAATATATTTAAATAGCATGTGCTGCCCATCGACTTAAAAATAAAATTCAAGGTGCATTTAAGTTGACAAAAATTTTGCAAATTCTTTTGGTGGAGCCTTTTTTGAGATAAATCTTCAAAATGCTACCATAGTCAAAAGATATATGACAATTCATCTATTAGGTACAAAATATGGTTGTTATTTATTGAATACCTTAACCTTTTCCATAAAATGATTTGTATGACCCTTACACTCAGTATGAAAATCTTAAACATGTGTAAGTTTGTTAATGCAAACAGGTGTCGTGAATTATAATCTTAAAAGCAACAAACCCATTTCAACATTGTTTAAAAGAGTACAAAGTTTCTCTGAAATATAATCTGCATTTTTATGAAAGAATAAAATTGCATTTTTATTAGCATATTAAATATGTTTGCAACCAGGATAAATACTGGAAGCCATCATTCACATAGATTAAAATTAGAAGAGAACCTAAAATACTGCTTCGCTTCTTATAATAACATTTTTTTGAAATTCTGATATATACGGTTGCTTTGAAGTAAAAAAGAAGCTGTTATCAAAGGCTGTTTTGAATTCATATTTCAAAAAAGAAACTATACTCTTTGATAAATATATGCGTAGTAAATGTGGATGATATCAATTCAATATTTTTAAGACATGTTATGCAAATAAAGTTCCAACTACATTTTAACTGCAACATGTAAGAGGCCGAAAGCAGATTGAGTCTTTCGATATGAAAATGTTATCGCTCAATTTTTGAATTTTGTACATTCACAATCGGTTAAAACACAAAATAAATAAGAGCAATCGCGGAAAATTTCATCAAAAGTTGAACACAAGTACATGAATCAGACAGGTGTTCTTTGTTATATCTTTATGTATCCCGTCGTCTTCTTCTATATACTTCTGGGAGAGTAACCCCCTTGAGTCTGTAACACTTGAGCAAATATTTATATAAACAATATGACCTGCATTTTATTCTGTTTTATGTATTCTGATTTTTTTTAATGTAAATTAAATTTTTTTATTTATTAAGACTAAAATTAAGTATTTAACTGTTTCAGAAGAAAGCCTTCTGTACGATCAGTTATGTAGCATTGTTTAATTAAGAAATCAATATTGTACAGGACGAAAATATTTCAATTTTGTTTCAACTATGGTTTATTAAAACTTCACAAATATGAACAACACTGGATAATAAATATTCTTTATCTCTGTTTTTGAAATACTTACAATTTTGCAACAACAAAAAATTCCGACATCAAATTAAAGTTGCAGCTCATATTACTCTAACTAATATTACCCTAAATAGAACCATTATGCATTTAATGAGGACGGAATACAAACATTCAAAGTCGTTACTTATATTAAATAAACAGGAATAAAATATTATTTAACATTTGAATGAAACATAATACGTTTTGAAACAACAGATTTAATAACCTAGAATTTTTTAGAATGTCTTCAAGATTAGAAAACTATTGAAAATGATATGGCTGTCTTGTGTCATGAGTTTGAATTTGACGATCTAAGTCTATAATGCAAAGATACATTTAACAAGTAATATTATACATATATCACATGGCTTCGAGGGTGACATACCAGAATATTTGCCCCGAGGTCACAGGAAAGCCCTGAAACGTTATGTCACCCTTTGCCGAGCCCTGGAGTGTTATGTCACCCGATGCCGAAGGCAGAGGGTGACATAACACTCCAGGTCTTTCCTGTCAACGAGGGGCAAATATTCTGGTATAGTCGCCCGAGAAGCTATGTGGTATATGTTATATGACATTTTTAAAACTAAAAAAAAAAAAAATAAAATCATTTAAAATCGTTTAAATTTTCACAAATAATCCAGAAATGCTTTCTTGACGTTAAGAATAACGCTCCATTGTTTACATTTGCTTAGCAACCGACGTCATAACATCTCGAACCCGAGCTAAAATGCGTAAGGTAACAACACGTGAACGTGATCGAAAGGATGACATAACTGTTTCCGGCGAGGGTTGACATAACTGTTTCCGGCCGGACATAACTGTTTCCGGTGTGACTCGGCATTTTTCAGGGTTTATAGCGAAACTTATTACATTTGTGATATAATAGGAAAACTTATTCAAAAACGTAATATAACAGTTTACTGTCTCACAAAAGCATTCAGGTCATATGAAAATAAATTTCCATAATTAAAAAAAACCCAAGCGTATACTTTTACCAGTTGTTTCTGTCAGGTGACTAGTAAGTGTTTTGTTTCTAAAGCTAAACTCTTTGTGTTCAAAAAGCGGAACTTTTAGTATACATGTACTGCGTTTGCTGACAACACTGTATTCATTACATTCAATGAAAAATTAATTTCATCCCGATCATAATAATTTGAACTGAATATAACTGAAATTCTGTGGTCAAAACCCCCTTTACAAATGTACTTACATATAAACCTGCAAATATATTTGTTCTATATATTTTTAAAATGAGAAGATATTTAGCTGTTTATTTTATGAGTAAAAACTTCCAGTGTCAATTAATGTTTTTAAATGAAATGTCAAAGGTCAATAATATAAACTTGTATACCATGAAACTTCGAGTATATTGAATTAAACAATAATTAAAAACAATGGTACATGTATATATTTCAGTAATTTAAGTAATTCAGGTTTCTCTTTTTTACTAATTACAGTGTTTACTATTAATGTATATAATTGAGGGAATTAGCAAGGTTAATTAAGTGTAAGGTCTTTTTAATTCAAGGTGCACATAAAGGAAATGTCATATAATGGAGTAAGCATACCAAATATGTAGTCTCCATTTTAATGGATCAAAAGTTGTGGCGAAGGTTAAAGTTAACAACAGACAGATAGACAAACTTTCACAATATATATTTTGAAATATTAAATATAGAGACTTCATATTTGGTATACATATTACACTAATTAAGTTCCTTCAAATGACACCAAAGTCAGTGACCTTGGCTGTGGCCTATAAGCTTAAAATAGACTGTAGAACTTTGTTGCCGCCGGGCGCATCACAAACACATCTTGTTACAAAAGAAAAAGATCAACGAAAAGCTGTTTCCCTATTGTTCGTTACAGTATAACCAAACTAGGATAATATTTTGATGCTTGAAGAAAAAAATATTTAAAAATAATAAGCCCAACTCCCAACTTCCGAAACATGAACTAGAACACTTAATTATTTCTGTCTCCTTAACTTACATTTTGTCATGTCTAAGTTTTTATTATTTCCTTTTCTCTATCTGGCTTTACTGCTTTTCAAAAACAATATTATGATTAAATTATCAAATCAAGGAAATCAAACTTACTGAAGTACACAAGTATTTGACATTTATGTTCTTATTGTAAGATTTTAATCTTGTTGCCATGTCATAAAAGTTATTTTCCTTTTAATATGACCCGTTGTGAAACTTACAGAAAAACATACCATCAGGTGATTTCGAAGAAAAAAAAATTAATAAAATACCTCTGTGCATATATAAGGATCGGAACATCTCGTTAATACCTTTATTGCATACAGAAATTCATTGTAGGCAGTTAAATTTCCACTTCAACAAATACCTCAAATAATGGCGCGATACGACTTGAAAGCTTTACGATCTGATCTTTGTAAAGAGTTGGCGAACGGATTTCAGAAAGAGTCCGTAGAAATGGTAAAGCAGCTACGGTCCAAGTACAAAAGTCACCCAGGGGACTGGGAGGGAATGGAAATCTGGAGCAAGGACAAGTACGTTATGGCTGTATGAGTTATTTTCATAAAAAGCATGGTTTTTTTATATAAATAAATAAGGGGTGGTAATAGTTAATTAGACACACATTGTATTCCGTTTCAATTTTGAACTTCCAATTTTCTATTAAATGAGCTCGAGTTAATTTATTAAATCGCAACATAAATCTAAAATTAAAAAAGGCCTGGGACATAACGCATTTTGTACACATTTAATTCTTACGTTGTGTGGGTTATCAAATGCGTTCTCTGTCTGAAACATTACTGTACATGTCATAGAACAGATTATCTTTTTTAGTTAGAATTACGTTTCTAGAATACTTTTAAAGATTTTTTTTTTAAATGTAATTATACAGATAAATCATTCCACCCAACGCTGGTGGAGATATCCAGATTTCTACGCATATTTGGTTCGAGAAAAAAAATCTAGTTAAAAAAAACCCAGATGTCTCTGCTGTGTTATAACAAAATTTAGATTTAAAAAAAAAACTCCCTTCAGAAATTGATTTTGAGTTGTGGATGATAAATATATTTACTGATTAATTTGACAAAGTTTCCGTTTTTTCTATAGCCGTATTGCGAGTTTTTTTTGTTTAGATATACCCGTACCTTATTAGACAACGGGAATGGACATTACAACTTGCTGATATTATGCTGGAATTCCGGTCAGAAAAGCCAAATACATAATCATCCAAATTCCCACTGCTTTATGAAGACCCTTAAGGGAGAGGTGTTCGAAGAGCTGTATAAGAATCCGGATATGACGTCATGTGAAAGGTCTTGTGGATGTAAAATGGAGAAGATAAAAGACAGCGTTTACAGTTTAAACGACGTGGCTCTTATCACTGGTATGTATATTATTATACACAAGTATGTAAATGAAATATAAACTACATATTATTACATATTTGGAAGGTATAAAAGCCTTAAAAGGTGAAAATAAGGAACAGTGTTCGGTGTCGAAAATTTTAAAACAACAAAATATTTAAGGAAGGTAAAAACAGGGAAATTCTAGAGATACGATCAGATGCATAAGAGATTTAAACTACTGTATTTGTCACTAGTTTTAATTACCCAAACCGTTACTGCGATGGAAAGTATGGAAGAATTCAAGTCAAACAATAAACATGTGTTCTAAAATCCCAATTAACTGTTTTCTCTCGTCTTTGACAACAGAAATTCAACAGTTCTAAACTACAATGCAACTTAAACAAACTTGTCAAGAGAGAGAGAGAGAGAGAGAGAGAGAGAGAGAGAGAGAGAGAGAGAGAGAGAGAGAGACTTTTTTCGCTACTTCTTTAAAAGTGTCCCTAGAATCGTGTATTTAATCGATCTGATGTACAAATGTAAAAGTTTTTGTATCTTGAATGGTGCTTAAATAAGCACCTTGACAGATATCTACATTAATTTATAATTTTATACTAATACTTCTGTCTTTTGTCTTGCATTTAGACGCAGACGGTCTTCATAGAGTTGGGAGCAAAAGTCAAACAGAAGGTGCTGTTACTTTACATCTTTATTCCCCGCCATTTTCCTCGTGTCGGACGTATGATGACGACACAGGCAAATCGACAGAGGTTTCGATGGAGTTCGACAAGGATTTAAGCCAACAGTGCTGCGCACGTTCCTGTTGTGGAAAATAATCTACATTAAGAATGTATAGCCAAAACGTACGAATTTTCATGACTATTAAATGATAATGTTACGATCTGAAATAAAGCATTTTTAATTTATTTTAAATAAATGTGTAAATTACATGATCGGACTTTGTGTAGAATGATATCAAAACTTTGTATATTTTAGCAAGTGTGATAAATTTCATAAATTCCGCGCAGCCTTAATCTTTACCAAAGCACAGTCAGAGATGGACAGTTAATCCCTTAATTGACTTCTATTAATATTTTTATTAACACTTATTCTTTCATCTGTGACAGTTATTCTTTTATTTACATGCCGTTAAAATGTCACCATTCGTCCAAGCATTGATTGATACTTGATTTCTTGACACTTTTTGTAAATCATTTTATTGGACTCTTTCTTTGTTTAGTATGTATGTTTTGTTGTGAAAAATTATGGTCAGTTTGAATCAGACCTTCGGTGTTGATATATCCCAAACTTATGAAAAGATTATTTCATGCTAAAATGCCATATAAAACTACAAGAAAATCAATTCGTGTTTGTGTCTTGAGGTTTTAAGAATCTGGGATAAACAATAACAGGAAAGCCTACGGTTGACCAAGAAGTAGTAGTAGTCTGACAACTTTATCCCGTCATAATAACATAATATGTCTTTATTTTTAATTTTCTTTTCGAAATTTTATATACATATAAGCATATATTGAAAATTCTTGCGTAGAAAGATTTAATTTTCAAGCTTCATTTAAAGACTTTTTGAATGAAATTATAAATAAAAGAGTTGTCCTTCCTAGCTGAGGGTCGGAGTCCCTTAAAAGAGAAATTATACTTGACGATGTGAAATTTATTCTCTGAACAAAACTTAAGCTTTTATGTTCATTTTAAAGTAAAGGATGTGAGAAATTAAATGTTTTAAAGTGGGTATTAAAAATATACTTTGTCGATAAAAAGAATCTAAAGAATTCAAAACAGTATCATTATTCATTGTAGCCAAATTTAAAATAAAACTTTGGTCTAAGTTTGTCTATGCATTAAAGTATTGAGACGACACTTGCTTCACTCACACACAAAAAAGTATTTTAAGAGATTATCCGTTGAATCATACATGTATTTAATACGCTTTTTAAAATTAACTTTGATAATAAAAGACAGTAGTAATTGATTCATATACGCAATTTGTTAAAGTATAATCTGGTTTTTCGCCTTTTTTTAATTTCCTGTTTTTACTTCTTAGTTTTAATATATGCAATTCTCTCTTAACCTCAAACAATTAATTTGCTTAACCTGTCGCACTTTCATTATTTCTGTGACTTTTTTTGCATTAAGCCTTTCTTAATTGTACATCCAGCCCTTTTTTTAAAATTGTTATTATTAAATCAGAAGGAAAATTACTCCCATATATTTTGATTGTTTAAAATGCAAAGGTAGTTTGTTCCAAATTTAGGATACTTCCGAGAAGTCTGTAAAAAAAATTAAAGTATTGTTTTCATTTTAAAAAAATCCACGTCCTAAAATTAACTGAATTGTTGAGTTGTATATAAATATAGGTGTCACATACGTAAAATACAGGATAATAGGCGTCCGTCACGGGTAATGAGATTTTAATTGCTGAAGATACTTTGGTTTCATTTAACTTCCACCTGACGTGTTAGCATTTTGTGCGATTATTTAAAAAAAAAACTGAGAATTTACTTGTTTAATTCCTAATACATGTAGCACACAACAACATCGCTAACTTGCCTGTCGACATAAGTTTGTTAATGAAAATTTGTATGCACAAAAAAGCATTTTAATATAGAATATAAATAAATGATCGTAATATAAAATGAATATGGAAAGGATGAAGCATTCATGAATAAAAAAGAAAAAGGTTAACGAATGGGATACCCCTTTCATTTAAATATTCGTGTCTAGTAACTATACATGAATAGGAATTAAATGGAGGTTTGAAAAATGTTTTTCTGACACGATTTTATTTCATTATTTATGAACTGTTTTAAATGAAGAATTGTTGTCACTCTTTGGATCCGAATCAGAAATTTAATAACTATCTCCAGCAAACAATTGCAATTTTCGTCCGCTTTTATTAAAGATTTATTGAATTAGAAAAAAAGAAATATCGAGGAGTATAGTCTCCTGGCATACGATGTATAATAGATAAAACCATAATTATGAATAATTGTTTTTTTCTTACAAATCATCAATAACAATTAACAGTTTGCTAAAAATATTTGTGAAACAACGAAAATTATTGTTGCTTCGTATTCGACCCTATTGTTTACCGATATACAAGAAACTGCTTGCCGAATACGGAATTGACGTGCAGAATTAAATTTAAGCTTTTATGTACATTTAAAAGGGAGTGATTTGAGATATGTAATATTATATTCTAAAGTGAGTATATCATAAAAATCGTCCATCAAAAGGATCTAGAACAGTATTTTTGTATGACAAGAGCCTATTTTAAAATAAATGCGGTTCAAAGTTTGTGTTGCTCTTTTTCTTTGCATTAAAAAATTTAAAATATGAGGAAGACACATGCTGCACTAAAAATGTTTTTAAAGATATGCATGGAGTAATATTGAAAGTGCATTTTTTTTTCAATTTGTTAATAAAAGACAATAGTAAGTGATTTATATAGGCAATACCTAAAACAATAAACATTTTTCTTTTATTTTTTTTTATTTCCTGTTTTATTTCTTCGTTTCACACAATTTTCTTTTCAACTAAAAAAATAGAATACTTCCGAGAAATCTGTAATAAAAAAAGTGTTTCAGGTTAAAACCCGTAGTATTGTTTCCTAGTTTAACCTAAAATGAACAAAATAGATGAGTTGTTTCTAAATATTGGTGTTATATAGGTTAAGTCCGGGATTGTAGCCGTCACGGGTAATGGCATTTTAATTACATGTACTTCGGAAGATACAATTGGTTTTGGTAGATATAATTTCCATTGCAAGACTATTTTAAGGAAACCGAGAGTTATCCGCCTAAATCTTTATACCAAATATAACAACAACGCTTTCTTGCTTGTCGTAATACAGTTGTAAATGTAAATTGGTACACAACCAAAAAACATTAAATGTAAATAAATAAATGGTTGTCATGTTAAATGTATATTAGAAAGATGGAGCATTCAGGAATAAATCCAGAGAAAGTTTTACAAACTGTTTGTCTGGTTGACCTTGCAGGAAAGAAGAATAATTTAACGTAGGTTGAATAATGTCTGCCCATTCTGATATTTTTGTTTTCTTTATTCATGAACTGCCATTGGTAAGGATTTGTGTTCGCCGCTCTTTTGACCGAATCAGAAATTTAATAATTACCTTCAGCAGTCATTTATTTCTACTATTTTTTTAAATTAATTTTTTTAATGCAAGGTCTATTGAATTAGAAAAAGAAATATTATTGATTATTAACATCTTGTTCCCGTTTGTATAATATATCAACATAAACAATTGTTGCTCTTTCCAAATCATAATCAATAGTTTACGGCTTGATTAAGATTTCCTTTTATCTGATGTTGAAAAGTATTATATAGCATAAAATTGTACAATTATGTATGATTCCATAGTAATAATATTGAAGGTAGAACAAAACCCTTCCATGAAATCTGTTTTGACTTATTTCTTCTTCATACACCAGAAAAAAAGAATAATTTCACTGTAATGTCAATAATCAATGGAAGGAAATTAGTAATTCTTGACACATTTTACCAACAAAAAAATGGAGTATCTTACATATATTGGTCATTTGAGAGCCTTCATTTTAGGTTATGTTTATACCATATGACAATATGTTATGAAATGCAAAGTAACTTTTGATCCATTTAGAATAGAGACCTAGTATTTGAAAATATTTATTAGAAGTGTCACCTCTTATTCATAATCGAGGTCAAGGGCATACTTAGAGGTCAAATATTTTGACATCATCTACTGATGCTTATTCTTATTTGTCTGCATTGAATATTTATTCATAGGGTCAAATATCTTAAGCTATGATCGGTTCCACATTCTTCATTTTTACACATTTTAATTAAGGTTCTATATCAACTATTCTGTTGATATTTATGTGAAAATTTAATCATACAGTTCCCTGTAGAAAACATGGAGTGTGGAATACTTTAATGTAAATTTTCCATTCCTGGGCTAACTATTCTTAACATGAAAAAAAAATATACCGGCATCACTGTAATTTAGCGAAATTAAGAATCATAAAGGTCGTATTTATAAAATGCATTAAATGCGGTAATTTTCTTTACATGTTAAAATACATATCCTAAAGTACAGTGTCTGAGTTTATAATCATCTTACAGGGGTCTTATAGGCCATGATTCAAACCATGTTGGCAAATGAATGTGCGGCTGAATTTCTTTCAAAATATACCGTATAGCGGGTTTTCTTGGCAGGTGTAAAATTTGGCGTTTTGCCTGCTGAAAGGTCTGCCTATAATTTTGGCATTATTTATTTTAGCAGATGCAGAGTTTAAGCTTTTCGCAAATGGACTCTAATAAGAGTACAGACTTTTTTCGCGATAAAAATTTTAGCGGATTATAATCAAAACGCCAAAATTATCATGCCTCTAAAATAACCCGCTATACGGAAGTATATATAAACTTTGAAAGTTTTATAAATTGATTTGCTGATAAGATACACGAGGACTTTATTGGACAAAGGGAATGGACTTTATAACCTTATGATATTGTGTTGGAACAAAAACCAGAAAAGCCCCATACATAATCACGCCAACTCCCTTAATGAAGACGCTAAAGGGTGAGGTATATGAGGAGATGTATAAACATCCGGATATGACGTCATGTGGATGAAAAATGGAGAAGATAGCGGATAATGCATACAAAGTCAACGATGTAGAACATATCACTAGCAAGTATTCTTATAAGTATACGTTTTAATTTTTAAGAATTAGTCAGTAAGATAAGTTTTTAGATAGCAAAAACAATTCAGAGAATCAAAATAAATTTAAACGCCTAAATTCAACAGATGGTTGGG